GTCGATTGCCCTAGAAGGTTTCCAACATTTTGGCTTAGAGCTTCTACCGGGTGAGCGCACGACCGACTTATATTATGCTGGTGATATCGCCTTACTTAGTGACGATCCTCAGAGTATGCAACTCATTCTGGATCGTTTGGCGGTTGAAGCATCTAAGTATGGCATGAGCTTCGCCCCATCGAAGTGTAAAGTACTGCTCAAGGATTGGCTTTCACCTGCTCCCGTACTCACTGTCGAAGGTGCACAACTTGAACAAGTAGATAGTTTCGTCTACCTTAGAAGCTGTGTTTCTGCTGACGGCATTATCAACAAAGAAGTTTCTCTCCGTATCGCTAAAGCTCGATCAGCATTTGTCAATCTGAGGCACTTGTGGCGTCGTCGCGACGTCTCATTCTCACTAAAGGGCCGAGTTTACAGCGCGTCCGTTCGCTCAGTATTGTTGTACGGGTGCGAGTCCTGGCCGATTCGCGTGGAAGACATGCGTCGTCTTTCTGCGTTCGATAACGGTTGCTTAAGCAGGATCGCTCGTGTTTGGTGGCAACATCCAGTCAATAGTAATGACGTTCGACGTCGCATCTTGGGGAATGCAAGTATTTCCTTCAACAAACTTGTTTTGCTGCGCCAGTTGAGATGGCTCGGTCATGTCCTACGCATGGCACCTGAGCGTCTACCGCGTCGCACTCTATTCGCTCGTCAAGGACATGGCTGGAGGTGACCGCGTGGTGGTCAGCCTTCCACTTGGCTGCAGCACGTGAAATCGCTGACGTCGTGTCTAGCCGCTGTTGGATCCGTGCGTCTTCCAGGATGGGGACCCAAATATGTGGAGTGCCAATGGCTTAGCATTCTTGAAGATATGGCCCGCAACCGGAATCAGTGGAAGAATTGTGTACAGTACTGTATTGATTCACATGATTAATACTATAAAGATTAAAATGACAAAAGAGAGCAAAACTGGCGTGTGTAAAACAAACTAAAAATGTTTTGTTCTACTTTTTATCAACATGTTTCATTCTTCCTTGCGGCATATTAGTTGAAGTGTGTTGCTCACCTTCAACTAGCATGCCACGATGGTTAAAAAACACGACGAATCTTGCTTATCTGCTGATCTTCATGGTTTTTGCTGGCTCTATGTCTAGTTAATAGACTGTTGAGACTACATACATACATACTACACCAGCAAACTTCACGAGCTCCTTCGTTACAGAGGAAGCACGGATACTGTGGCGTTGACTGGCGATCTAAGAGCCCAAGTCGGAAAATTTTCCTCCGATGAGCTTCCTCTGGGCGGCCAACATGGTGTAGGCTCCCGTAATGATAACGGTGAGCGATTACTACAACTGTGTGAAGATGATCGCCACTTTCTCGCGAGCACTAACTTTCAATACAGCACCCGCAGAAGCGTGACTTGCCGGTCACCAGCCTCGGGCCAGCCATGGACGCAAATCGATTACATCGCGATCAATTACCGCCGGATAGGCTGTGTCCAAAACTGTCGCTCGATTTGGAGCACGAGCGTGGACTCTGACCACGTACATGTCTGCGCCGACCTCCGGGTGCGTTTCATAGGATGTCCGCAACGTCGGTGTGAACGGAATGGCACCAGCCAGCTGGAGAAACCAGGTGTTCTAAATGTGTATCAAAGTGCGCTGACATTTAGGCTGAGTAAGCACCCACTAAACACCGTTGAAGATCACTGGTCGCATATTCGTCAAACGTTACTGTTAGCAGGCATGTCATCATGTGGCAAAGCAAATTGCCAACCTGAACATTGGGTCTCTACACAGTCTCTGGAACTTATGCATGCTCGTTGACGTATTCCGGATGGAAAGGAATACAATGAGACTCGCAAAAAGGTCAGGGCAAAACTACGTGCTAGCTTGAAGAAGGACCGCGAAACCTGGTGATCTCGTCTTGCCTCTGAGATGAAAACAGCCGCTGCCGTGGGTAATCATCGTACGTTATTCCGTCTGAAACGGGAAACAGGCAGCAGGAGATCTGGTGTTAGCGAGACCATTCGCGACGAGAGTAGACGGCTGATCCACAGCCTGTCAAAACGCTTGGAGCCTTGGACTGAACACTTTGCAAGGCAATTTAACCAACCTGAGTTATCGCTTTCTTCTTTGGGCACTGAGCGCCCTTCTGCCTGGGCCATCTCTTTGGATCCGCCCTCACGCGCAGAAGTCGAACATGAGATCCGGCTGTTGAAATTGCATAAGGCCGCAGGGGCAGACAGAATTCCCCCAGGCCTCTCTAAACTCGGAGGACCTGCTTTAGTAGATGATCTACACGAGTTGCTAGTAAAACTTTGGGAGCAGGAGACAGTCCCGACAGACTGGAACCGCTCCGTCATTGTCCCCATTTTCAAGGGAAACTCCCATTTGAAATGTGGCAATCATAGAGGGATCAGTCTGATTTTGATTGCCACTAAATTACTTGCATCTGTCATTCTCCACAGACTGGCTGGCACTAGTGAAAGCCAGATTCGTGAAGTGCAAGCCAGATTTCGTCGAGTTCGGGGCTGCATCGACCACATCTTCACCTTGCGTCAAGTGTTGGATCTCCGCCATGTTTATTGGCGACCCACCGTTGTCGTGTTTCTTGACATAAAAGGTGCCTTCGATTCAGTCGATCGATGTGCACTTTGGAACTGTCTGCTGAGGAAAGGTGTGCCTGGTAAATACGTAGACATTATCAAAACGCTGTACGCGCATATTTCGGGCAGGGTGAGGGTTTATGGCAAACTCTCGCCACCCTTCAGGATCACCAGCGGTGTGAGACAAGTACGTCCGCTGTCACCTTTCCTCTTCAACTTCGCCACTGATGAAGTCATGGAAACAGCGCTTGCTGCACACGACCTAGATGGTGTGGAGCTACTTCCTGGTGAGCGACCTCCTGACTGGGAGTGTGCGGACGATATTGCCCTAATCTGTGACAGCTCCCAAACATGCCAAACAGCACTGGACCGATTAGCACTGGCTGTCCATCGTTTTGGGCTATGCTTTGGTCCATTGAATTGCAAAGTACTTTTCCAAGGTTTGCAGAGACCCAACCCTGCGCTAACGCTTGGTGGGGATCTGTTAGAAATCATTCAGGAATTCAAGTACCTGGGTAGCTATATTAGCACCCGTGGGCTTGAAGATAAGGTTACGAACCGTATAGCAAAAGCTCGCTTTGCTTTCGCCAGTCACCGCCGCCTGTGGCGCAGACGCGGCATTACTCTCGCCCTGAAGGGTAGAGTTTATAACGCAGCCGTCCGTTCAACTCTCCTATATGGCTGTGAAACCTGGCCCATCAGGTCAACAGACATAAAGTGGCTGGTCATATTCGATTATCGCTGCTTTCGCAGCTTAACTCATGTCTGTTGGGAGCACAGCGTCAGTAATGAGCGTGTTCGACGACGCGTATTTGGTGCAGGAAGAGCGGGTGAACCGCTCAGCACTATTATATCACGCACCAGGTTCCGATGGCTGGGCCACATGTTGCGCATGCCAGCACACCGACTCCCGCGACATGCATTGTTTGTGCGTTGTGGGTGCGGTTGGAAGAGGAGGAGGGGAGGCCAAGCGATGATTTGGTCGAGAGAAATGGAAACCCTCACTTCGAATTTGGCATCGGTTGGCGCATCCCGACTGCCTGGCTGGGGTCCTAAGGACGGTGAACATGTTTGGTTGGACATATTTTGCTGATAGGGCTGGGAGCCGGCCCCAATGTCGTTTGTGTTGCGAGTTCCTTTGTCCATCCCCTCCTGTTTAACATTTCCCTCCAATCACAATCTTACTTGTTAGGCATACTATGACTCTGTTTTATGGCAGCCAGCTGTTAGCTCTCCGGAATGATGTCCTTTCGTTACTGAGGACTCAGCGGGCGTGCCACTGTTTGTTTTCCTTTTCTTGTCTTTTGTACTGCGGCATAATAGCGAGGTGTTTTCCACCTCCCGCTAATATGTAATGAGGATGATGATGATACCACTGACGAACCCATATAGAGCGAAAAGACTGGCTTGGGCTGCACATGATTGGTTGTCTGCATACCAAGTTTGTGAACTGCTGAGATGCACCAGTAAAATATATTTTAATCCTTTTGCCTTAACTGTATACTACCCAAACCATGCTCATAGTTAAGCTTAAATGCCCTGCAATCCGTTTTATGGGCATTTCTGGGATGTGCATACTTTAAACCGGTTACCACCGGTGTAATAGATAAACTATTTGCCTCCGGAGAATGAACGTTTCTTGTTTCTGCCTGTTTTAATGCAGATGTTCTGTCTACATAAATATTATTCAAAGCACATTTGTTTGCCATATTTATGAAGCTGTGCTTTTTATCGACTCAGAAACAACATTGTGTAGTGTCGAATAAAGCGGTGCTAATACTTTCTCATTTGGTGCTTAGACTATCCTGACAATCGATGCTACTAAGTGATTACTGCCTATTTTAGACGCCAGAGACTTAAGCGTCTACTTAGAAACGCTGACGACTGCTTCCCTTTATGGCAGCTAACTTAACCACACAGCCACACACACTGTTACATCAACTCCTGCGATGTCCGTTGTTTGCCCAATCGAGGTGCGGATGGAAGAAGAGGGAGGAGAACCAGCGTTGACTTTGTCTAGAGCATTAAGGTCCTTAGTTCGATTTTAGTCTCAGTTGGAGCCTCTCGTCTCCCCGGTTGGGGCCAGAAAGACGACGAACACGTTAGGCTGGATACCCTTGTAGCCTCCCATCCTCCAACCACGATCTCATTCCTGACCTAATATAAGTCTTTTGCGGCACAATAGCGGGTTGCTAGCTCTACTGAATGATGTTCATCCGTTACCGGTGACTCAAATGGCGTACCAAGGTTGCTTTATTTTCCTCGTGTATCGCGTCACAATAGCTGAAGTGTTTCCTACCTCTCTCTAAACATGTATAATGATGATGATGGCACACAGTCCCCTACCTGCCTATTGAATTGAAGTCCACAGGTCTAGCTTGCTTATCTGGACTGTTCAGTGACTTACCCCAGTTCTCGCAGCAGCTGATCGTGTAGGTATTCCATTGATCTTTTCGTCTCACATAGCTGCTCACCCGTTTTCGCTTGTTTTTTGCGTTCCCACAACTGAAGCACATTGCCGACCGGAAGCCATCAGTATCGCTCCATACTACTGTTCCAAAACAACGCAGGTCACGGGATCATCGGTCGATTGGGCAAGTCCATGTACGGACTACGATCACGTGAGCTAATAGTGTCATGTGGAAGACTATGCGGCTTTTAACTAGGTCAGCGAGTCAACTCACTTCGCGTCGAAAGCGCCTGTCCAGCTTAACCTCGCTTTCGAACACTTACAAATGCCGCGTATCATCGTAATTCACGTTAAGGCACAAATGGAGCTAGTTCGCTCAAATAGTAACAACTTAGATGAATGCTCAAGCTTGCCAATAGGAGGTACACCTGTTTCGGCATGATTACAATGAAATATTTGAAAATATTACTTTGTGCTTATAGATACCACTTCTATTTCTTGATTCCCGTAACCACAAAGCATTATATGAAAGTGGCTATCCCACCTTCCGAAATGTGGTGATTAAAGTCTGTTGGATGAAGCTCATCTGGTCCCGCGGCTCTATTCAACTTCAGCAGTCCGAGCTCAAAAGTTTGTCTTCTGAGTGTGTGGGCTGATCCACAGAGACAGCCAAAGTAGCAGAAACCTCAATGATCGGAGAGAAATCCGACAATTCCGACCGCTTAAATTGGTTTTCAAAATGCATGCGATGAGGCAGGACCTTACGGTGGTGCGACGGTTTATGTGTCGCAGAACTCCATTGAGTTGTGCTGGGTGGTTCTTTTTGTCCTTTAGAGGCCAGACAAACTCAGTCTGCTGGTTCTCCAAGCTTTGGGTTGGAGGGGGATAGCTTCTTATTCGTTAAAACGGACCCCTTGTAGTCCATCGCCAAATCCACTGCCTTGCGGTCAGGTCGGTGAAATAAAGGCTTTTGTTGCGAACCCTAATCATTCTCCTGTCTTGGCCTGGGCAACATGACAGTATTCTATCCATGCAATACAATAAATTTTTCTGCAAACTATTTCTTGATGTGGCCCTAACGGTGGATAACCAAGGGCACCCCGTTTGCTGCATCGAGCAGGGTGGATAGGGGTTCGGATGCTACTGCTCAAGCTTTCTCATCTTCTTATTACCAACCTTACTCTTTTGCACCCTTATCGTCCCGTTCTAGTTTCGCTGTCATCCCCCTTGTTTGCAACCCCATGATTTTTGGCCGTCCCCACTATGCTCTGATAGGCGTTTATCTGCTAGTTTTAACGCACATACAAACGCGATACGTCACTCCACTTCAGGATACACTTGCTGACATGGCAAAGAGCCGACCTCAGTGGTGTTCGTGCTGTGAGTTACTTTGTCCCTCCGAATCCCTTTAGCCTCCCGCTCCATCTACGACCTTATTTCGTAGGGTAAAACAGAATTAAATCGTTTGTTTTTGCCTAGGAGCCGGCTGGTAGCTTACCGGAACGATGCCTATCCGTTGCTGGTAGTACAGCTGGCATGCAACTGTCGTATTTATTTTTCCTTTATGTATTGTATGTTTGTATGTATTTCCTTTATGTATTGCGGTACAATAGCGGAGGTGTTTTGCCATCTCTAGCTGACATGTATAATGATGATGCTGCTGCTGCTGATGATGATGTCGACAAGTTCATGTCCAAACATGTGGTCAAGCCCAGTTCATCGGCTTCCATTTGGCGCCATCGATCCTCGTTCAGATTGGTAGGCTTCAATGTACGCACCTTGTTACAGGTCGGTCAATAGGCTTCACTTTCCCAATTATGGGAGACACTCTTGATCAATAACCGCAGCTTATGGGAGACTCACTTGCAAGATTCGAGCTCTGTACTGGCTTTGCCATCCCCTTCATGTGACACCAGCAGCGTTTTCTCGTTGCGCCTCTCCGGAGCTGACACATCTTCGAGTACTGGCCAAGCCGGTTTCGGTATTCCATGAAACTTATTCTGCCTCGTACGAGAAACGGGCATCAGAAGGCCCGGGGTAAGTGAAAGTATACTTGACGAGAATGAACGTCCACTACACAACTTGTCGAAGCGGTTGGATGCACTTGCTGACATGGCTAGGTGCCGACCTTAGTGGCGTACGTATTGTAAGTTCCTTTGTCTCTCCTCATCTCTCTAATTCTCCCACTCCAACTTCGCTCTGATTTACTAGCACAATATAATTTTTGCAGAATAACTGTTTTTTACTGAACGGCAGCCGGCTGGTAGCTTTCCGGAACGATGCCCATCCGTTATTGGTAGATCAGCTGGCGTGCACTTGTTGTAAGTTTTTTTGTTCTTCTTTTCTTATATATTGCGGCACAATAGCTGAGGTATTTTCCACCTCTAACTAAGGTGTATAATGAATGAATGGATGGTTATGGTTGACAGCGTCGAAATTCCTGCGTTATAGGCCAGATATACCTAAGTATCATTTGTGTACATAGCAGGCGTGTTTTCAAAGTAGCGCATGTTTCGCATGCCAATTGCTCCCTACACCCAACATCGTGCAGTTAGCTTTCATCGTACGATAAAATACACACATTGTTAGATAAGATCACCATATACCTGAACTATGATCCCTGCTCCGATCTCCTTTGCACACCACACTTTGCATAGAACCACACAGGACACATCAGTGGTAAACGGGCTTTCGCGCTGTCATCAGCATAATCAGAGAATCCTACATCGTTGGCACCATACTGTGGTGCCTCATCACTAACTTGATGTCACTTATTTACGGAAACCAAATCCGGCAAATTATGGAACATATGGGAAGCATCCCGTCTGTTTTGTTGCCAACTACATCTGCTGATATGACAACGCGGTGGAGAAGTCTGGTCTACGAATGCAGGATGTGTAAGCAGATGGTTGTTTCTTTCAACCTTTCCATGGAAACGAAGATCGCCAACGCAAGCCTAGTTTCCATGGAGGAGGGGAAAACTGCTCGAAAACAAGGCATACTCTCGAGGGGAGTCTAGTTTGCTGCAGCTTCACATGAAAATCCCATACAAAGACGAAAGTAAGAGTTTACTTCCATTTTAAGCTCCAGAAATGCTTAGAACATAGTTACGTCAACCGCATCTCGAAGTGATTAGGTTTTGTTTCCGCTATAACCGTAGTCGAACTTAAGGTAATATAGTTCAAACCAAACACAATGACTACTGTTATGTGCAAGTAACGACCTTTTTATCTCGGGATTTACGTCACCCGCAGCGGTGTTTGCCTACAGCCACTGAGCCCCGAATTCCATTTCCGACCAGAATATCTCTAGCTGCAGTAACCGAACAGGGCCAGCGCCTATGGTGAAACTCAATGCAGATAATGAGTTTTAATTCAGTGCAATTTCAGTTCATGCTTGGCTTAAATATTTTATCTTGCAAAACACTTGAATTCTGCGTAAAATAAAGGAATTTCTGTTTACAACCGCAAATGTTTCGAACAGCGTATTCCAAGTCCGGGTTCTAGGTCTTCACCTGTTATTGTGCAGAAACCAAAGGACGCTTCTCATTTGCTTCGGCGTCACCCTCAGTTGAAGATGATTTGAGTAACAAAACGTTATAGCGTTTCGACAGAAATTGCGGCGTACCGCACCTGAACGTCGTAGGTTTGTATTAGTTTGTACCGAGCGCTGTGCTGTAGCTGTGTTTGTCTGCTCAATAGTACGTTGGCAAAACGCTGTATGCCGCCGCCTTAGATTCACCTTGGCCCCATCAGCCAACTTGTAAGTTCCTGGAGGGTACACAGATTCCACACGGGTCAGGGATCCGAACACATTACCTTCTTTCCGGGAATAGGGTAGTCTCACACGAACAAATGCCCTAAAGGATATGTTCTCCCAACACGTCTACATTTAGTCTGTTAAAAAGTCCGTCTTTCGTATTCTCTCTTATCGGCGGTTGCATCGGATGCAAAGGACAAATTTAATTGAGTTCGAATTGTTCGCCTTAACATTAAATCCGAGGGGGTCGTTACCGTTGCTGTATGTGGAGTGGTTCTGTACACCTCTAATGCAGATACAAACGCGTCATCTCAGGATTTTTCAGGAAGCCGAGGGACTTGTAGAGGTTTTTTCAAAGTTCAATAAAATCTTTCGACGAGTCTATTCGCTGCAGGATTATAAGGTGCAGTCCTCATGCGTCTCATACCACTGCGCCTTAGGAATTCAGCATACTCCCTATTACAAAACTGTGGACCGTTATCAGTGACTATTTCTTCTGGCAAACCGTACCTCGCAAATAAACAACGGAGCCACTTTGTGATGACGGCTGTAATTACGTCCCGCACAATATAGCCTCTGTACATTGGCTGTAGAAGCAGGTAGCCACTAGCACGTTTCGCTTCTGCTGGGGTGCATTGGCAAACTGGCCCATAATATGGATGACAATTTGCGCCCTTGGATTCATTGGGTACACGATAGGTTGGATGGCAGCATTCAACGGCCTCGCACTTAGCGCATTATTGGCAGGCGTAAGATTCCCGAATAACCGCCTCGACGCTAGAGTTCAATTTCGGCCAGCAATAGTATTGTCGTCACCCAGCTTTTGTGCACACAATCCCGGGATGACCTTTATGCGCACATGCAACCGCCAGAGGAGTGAGGGTTGCAGGGACCACAATCTGCTCACCTCTAATAATGCAGTTGATCACAGTAGAAAGCTCGTTCCGTAGTGTATAGTATGGAAGTAACTCAACTTGGATCTCGGTACGACTGGGCCATGAAGTGGATATCCACTCTCGAAGCTTCGCCAGGACAGGGTCTTTGTCAGTGTGCTCTCGTATCAGGTCAAATGTTATTGTGGATGTTCCGGCTGAGAGCTGCGATATCATTTTTACCTCCTCTAAGTCTACGTTTTCCTCTTCGTTAGACAGTGGGAGTGTCGACATGGCATCAAGTTTCTTAAAGCACCCTGGCACGCATTATAGTTCATAATCATTGTTTCTTAAACGTTGGTACTAGCGAGTCAAGTGTACCGGATTCCGGCTGGTACCGCGACTTAGTAGCGTTATAAGAGCAGAACGGTCGGTGCGCAAAATGCATCGACGCCCGAAGAAGTAAAAGTGTCATTTCTCACACTCCCAGAC